TCCTCTCTTTCCTCTCTTTCCTCTCTTTCCTCTCTTTCCTCTCTTTCTTTCCCTCTCTCTTTCTTTCTTTCTTTCAAAGGGGTTTCCATGTCTAAAAGAACTGATACTGCCTATCACTCCATGAGCCTGTAGCACTCCAATTGTCATCTGTCCAAGGCTAACACTGATGGAACATCAATGCTCTGTACTGGGACAAGGTGTGAGGACAGCTGGTGACCTCAAAGCCAGAGGCTGCCTTATGAAAGTCATCCCAATGGGTAGCACTTACTACAGCACCTGTGGGTAGGCTCTGTTCAGAGCCTGCAGGCTCTGCCCCTTCTGCAAGTGAGAGAGCAGCAGTTTCAGGGGAGGATTTGGTCAGGGCAGCAAACAAAGGCTATGCTTACAAGGCAAGCTAGCGCTGCTGTTGCATGTGCAATTCTGCCTTGGATTTACCTAGAGTTTTTTTGCTTCCAGATCTACCAGCTTAATCTGACAGCGCTTTCTAACCTTGCCCTAGTACTGTTTTAAAAGCACACATATTGGAAGGATGGCCATATTTAGATCAGTGTTTCCTTTATTCTTTGGGGGAAAAGAAATTGGCTAAAGCTGTGAAATCTCAGCAAGTGCAGTGTGTAGAAAGGTTTGCAAAGAATGAAGCCTCCTGAAGTTCCAGAATCAGCCTTCAGGACTCGTTCTCTATTTTGGGGAATTAAGGTTGGCAGATCAAGCCCAGCTAGCAGAGACTATTCCTTTCTATCCTTATCAGAAAAGAAGAGCCAGATTTCTGCACAGCTTACTCTCAAGGCAGGGGAAGCTCCATTCATCCATTTGCAATGGGTCAGAAGAGATTAATATTACATTTTTGCACCACTCTGTAAATGCCCACGTCACCCAGGCAGTCCTCTGTCAGCAACAGCCCATTTCCAGAGTACAAACCCGCTATTGTACTGTTTATATCAGTTAATTCAGACCTGTGGACCTTGTGCCAGGCAATCACATGGCTCCCTGCTTGCCTCACCTCAGCCTGGATAGAAGTTAAAGTGCAAAATTAAAACATCAGGTATTGGGAGAGCAGGACCTGCCTGCCAAGCCATTCCCACCCTGGTCTCCCATTCACTGAGAGCCTACACCGGAGCTAATTTCTGCACAGTCAGGATCCAGCCAGAGTGCATCCTTTTGGAGAAAATTGTTTTCTGTCAAAATCAGCTCACTATAAACACCCTCTCTTGCTCTTCAGCTGTAGTATACCCAGGCCCTGACCCTGTGTGTCTCCTCCAGCCTCTCTTGCTAGTGTGCATCAGGAGTCTTCTTTATGGGGCAACCAAGTAATCAGTGAGTTCCTCTCTGGTCTCAGATTTCTGTTGGAAACGCAATGGTGCTGGTTTCATTCTTCTTGCCTGTGCTTGGGTCAGGTGTTCTCCGATGTGGTTAGTGAGATTCCTTGCTTACAGTCCTGGGCCCAACTAATGCTAATGCCATGCTAAAGCTCGTCTCATCTCTTCATCATTTAAAGCATCTTAGAGTTTCTACCTTGATGATATATCACTTAATTGTACAAAAGTATATGTATGTATCTTCCATTTGTATTAATTTTGTTTCATGGAAAGATGTATAATCTGAATTGTGTCACCTGCAACATTCAGGTAACCAGATTCTGCTGTACTCTTAAAATTGAATGAGTCTTCTCTCTGTCTTGATTTTCTAAACTAACCTGTTTTCTGTGCTGTCTTCATGTGTACCTTTCACCATAAAAGACCTCTGTCTTGACATCCTTAGGCTGTCCTGTCTCAAGGATAGTTGATCAGAATCAACTATCACACAGTCTGAGGACATGCTAGGGCACACCATTAGTTTATATGACCCTTGTTAAGATCTCTGGTAGAGGAGGTAGTGAGGAAGTTGCATTGATAGACTTCAATAAAGCATGACAGTTTACACTGGCTGTGACTTTCGCTGTTCCTCTTTTCTGAATATTCTCAAGTTTCTACAAATACTGGTTGTGTGAAAAGTTGTAGCCTAATTTAGTCTGTGTTTACAGTTTATAGCTGAGCCACGCTGCTATGTTGTATCACCTCCATCATTCAAAAAGCTCTAGTCTGCCGTTTGCTTCTCCCGGTGTTGCACACTCTTGCCTCAAATTAGATTCTAGGTTTTATATTAAGAAATACTCTCTTAGTTTCTACATTTTTATTTTTGTTTGCCTGGCATAAGAGAACAAAGCTTTTATCCAGGTATGTTTGTGTGTATTTTTATTTTAAAAAGGCCTCTAGTTTTTGTTTATCTGTGAAGTATAATTTTATGTATTTGAGCATTGAACATCTAAACATGAAGTAGAAGCATAGGAGAGAGACAAGTCGGGTTTGTGAGTGCAGTTTGGAAAGTGGGGAGTAGGTAGCAAGGGACAAACAGACCCTTTACTGCAGCTCTGTGTGAGTCAGAGTTTAGTGCAAGACTGTGTGTGGCAGGCATATGCCTGAAAGGTTTGCTTGCTTACATGGAGAGGGACATTCAGATAGGTGTTGGTATGTTGCTGTAAATATGCAGTGGAATTGTATGAGTGTGAAGATGCATGCGGGAACTGTGAAAGCACACAGACTCTACCAGCAGCCGGTACATATGCAGAGCTTTGAAAATGTCTTTCATTAAATTAGTTGTGTGTGCCAGTTTTGATGTTTGTGAAGATTGCAGAGTGTCTGTAGCTATGGTTTTTGTGCCTGGGAATATGTGCTGTTATCCTGAATGTCTGATTCTGCTCTCATATGCCAGGATTTATTCCAGTGTAATTTCATCAACTGCATTGAAGTGACATCTGAATTACACTGCTTTGAGATGGGATTCAAGCACTCTTCTGCACACGTTTGTGCATGTATGGGAAAGCAGATGTCCGAGTGCAGTGATTAGGCTGTGCCGCTGCGAGACGCGGGGCTGTGCATGTGCACGAAGTGTATGTTTGTGGAGTTGTGTGTTTGCATGGGACATGCACGTTCCAGTGCCACGCTGGTGTCCCAGGCTGTGCATGTGGGCTGCAGTCTGGGCGCACAGCCGCCGGCCGGCATGCCCGTGTAAATAGTGCACGGGGCACCCTTCACCTCAAGTTTTTTCACAACCCTAAACTCTACAGTCGGTGCCCACGAGAGGCAGATCAGTGGGTAAGAGAGAAGGGGCGCGTGCGCTGCCGCTGCGGCCGTTCCCGCGGCGGGACCGAGCTGGAGCTGCGATTCCGTGTCACGGGCGCTGCCGGCGGCCCCGCCGCCCTCGCTGCCGTGCCGGGGCCAGCCCTGCTGGCGGCCCGCACTGCATCCCACCGTGCCCCAACTCCTCCGGCCCCGGCTCGCCCTCCTGCCGGGCAGGGGCTGCGCGGGCACCGCCGGTCGCGCTGCGGAGCCGGTGCCGGGTCCGGCGGCCCCCCCGGCCGTGCCTCCCCCAGCCGCCCTCCAAGCCCAGCCCCTGCGCGGGAGCCAATAGCCGCCCTGCCGTCTCCATCCGTCTCCCGGCGTTAATGCTACAGCGGGGCTCGGGGCGGCGAAATCCCCCGTGGCCGTGTCCTGCGCGCCGCCCGCCTCCTGCCGCCGTCAGTGTGTCCGCACGCGGGTGCGGGAGCGGAGCGGCGCTGCCTCTCGCCCCGCCGCCGGGCTCGGGCCGGCTTCTCTTCCCGGCGCTCCCCGCTCTCCCAGCCCACTGCAGTTTAGTTGTTCTCTTGTGTTTTTTCTTTCCCTTTTTTTTCTTTCTTTTTTTTTTTTTTTTTCTCTTCCAACTGGGAATGCTCAAACTGGACTGATGGACATTTCCGAGCTGTGCATCTCCGACCCGCTCGGCTACCACAACCAGTGAGTGTGCCGTGCCGCGACCGGGCGGGCCGGGGGCGCGCTGGGACTGGCGATGCGTCCCGCTGCGGGTGGGATGGGGCAGCGACCCCGCAGTCCCGCTGCCTTCCCTGCGGCAGAGCCGCCGCCTCCCGCCGCCGCGGGGCACCGCGTGTGCCGGGTGTGCGGAGCGGGCGGCCGCGGGCAGGGCAGGGCAGGGCAGGGCGCACCTCCGCGTCGGCAGGTGCGGCGGCGTCCGCGGAACAGCACTTGGGGGTGTGTCGGCATTTTGGTGTGTTTCTTTCTTGCCGTGTAACTTCTCCCTCTAATGCTTCATCTCCTAGGAACAGGCAGCTAACAGTGAGCGCTGACAGTCCTTTCTGCGCAGTTTTACTTTCCGTCTGTGCTAGGATTTTTATTAGATGAATTACTAGGTGCCTAAAAAGAGATATGCATATAAAATTACACGAAGCAGATCCATTAAAGCACTGTATTTTTATTTAAGAAGTCGGTTTTTCACCTGAAATGCCCTATGGAAATTCAGTTTCCTGCAGCTTACTCTTTGGATAGCCTGCCCGGGGAAAGAGTGGAGTGAGTCGGAGGGCTGGCAAGCAGACATCCCGAGCTGGGACCGGTGGCTGATACCTTAGCACCTGCTACTGCTCTTTGTATTCCGAAGTAGGCTGTGCCTGGTAATGCTGTGTTTAAAATCACTTTAGCATGTTAAGTTTGGTTTGATCTTGTTGGGGAAGTTAGGAAACAAGGCAAAACCTTCTCAGCGTTTGTATTCAGCTGACTGGAACAATTAATTTTAAATGCATTGCTCCTCTCCGATAAATCTCACCCCGAACAGAGTCCCCTTTTGTGTGTTTGCATGTTAATTCGTGTGTCACCTCTGCAGGTTTTGTGGTGTCATCAGAGGTGGGAATGAAGTAATTTTGCCTATTTCATTGCTTTTGTCTTAAGAACACATTGTATTTAGTAAAATCAAAATAATTTAGACCAAGCAAATCCCCCACAAATACCACTCTTTCCTTATTTCAGCTTTTATTTGTCTTTCTGTCTCTTGTTTCCCAATATTCCATCTGTCTTTACGCTCATTTCTCCTTCCTTTAATCCCCAGCTTCCAGCAGTTTCATTAAAATGAGACTTAGTATTGTTAATAGAAATTAATAATCAAACCCTTGTGATTTTCTTTTCCCCACTGGTGCTTCACTTGTGGCTGCTCCATTTTGAATTAAAAATAAACAAACAATTTCTTAAGGGAAATGTGTTCTGTATGCTGCTGGGAGTCTTTTAAAATTAAGGCAAAAATAGAAAATGCATTTACCTTAATAATAAAAAAAAGAACAAAATGCCACAATCATAAGATAGATTTTCATCACTTACTCTATTGTCTCTTAACTTTTTCCTTTTATTTTTTATACTTTTGTAATTGAGAAAAAGGACCTCAAACAACATGAAAATAGTAAGAAGTAATATGCATGTTATGTTACCATTCACCCTTTTTACTTTTTCATGGGCTTTCAGTCAGCTCTCAGAAATGTGCGGAACACCTTACCTGTATTCACAACTCTTTGACTGCTGAGTAGAAAGATGAAGGTGGCCCTGGGGGAAGTGCCACTGAACCCCTATAGCTTTACAGTAGACAGAGTGCGCTGCTTTTTGAGATGAAGAACTGTTGGAGAGCTCTTTGTTTAAAGAATTGCTTGGTTCTGTGTGCCAACATACATTCTCTTGAACATTGTTGAGGTTGGGGCAGAAAGACTAGAGAAATAAAATGTAAAATATCTCAAGCTCAATTTTTTTTTTCTTTTTTTTTAATTAAAGGCATACAGTGATGCAAGAAAGTCTGGAAAAAGTTACTGGGAGAAGTAAGCTGTGGGAAGCTTTAAAAATACAATATTATTTAAAGGTATATGTGCAGCTTGTCAGGTACTGATTGGATTTACATTTGAGTTTTATTAAAGTTATATTTCACATTACATTCCTGTAGCTGAGGATAAGAGCTGGCCCGGTAAATATCCGTTTAACCATCTTGTTCTGCCACTGTAACATAATTACATTGTGAACATACAGTGTAAATACAGGTGTTGCATTTGTGCCTATATCCCTAAATAGCTGTGTTAGCATATTATTCTTACTTTACTGATTTACTCCTCTGACTGCTAGCTATTGAAATTATTTTAATAGTTATTTTCCTTTTTTTGTAAATACTGCGTTTAATTCTGTGGATGGCAATTTTTGTCAAATTAAACCTTAAATTAGCAGTGAATTTAAGAACATTGCAAACTGGTTCTTCTTGTTTAGTTGCATGTTAAGCTATAGGAAAAATATGAGGAAGAGTAGAATGTCGGAAGAGAAGTGAATGTGGTCACTCAATACGTGATCCATACAGTTCCCTGGAAAATGTATTTCACCTCACAATTATTGAAACAGAGAGAGAATGAGCAAGGCAAAGGAGAGGAAAGGTGACTCCCTTCACCTTGGAGTTTGAGGAGATCTTAATTTTTTTTAAGAGTCAGACTCAAGAAAAGTCTGAACAAAAAGTAAGCAAAAGAATTCCTTACCCCTAATCCATTCTTCAGGTTTTGTATTTATCTTCCTAGAGCAGTGAAAGTTCCCTGTCCATTGCCTGTGTGTGTTCTGAGTGATTACACCAGGAACCTGCAGAAGTTCTGTTTAGCAGGTTTTGTGGTTTCCTTCAGTGCAGGATCTTGCAAGGAGAGTAAGAAAATGCATCTTGCTAATTTTGACCCTTTGTGCATGTGTTCTAAGGCTATGTATGTATTTAATTTCTTGCACAGAAATCCACTCTTTAGCTCACTACATTTTGGTACTGACCTTGGGGAGAATTATTCCTAGGGTAGGTGATACAACTCCAAGGAAGAAGCTTTTGTATGAGTTCGAATTGGGAAACTAACTAACAAAGGCAAAGATTTGTACCTGCAGTTTATCTCTCAGGTGAGGGCATATGGTGAGAATACGTTAGTTACACTGTACTGACAATGTCTGTCTGCGGTACAGCAGGAAGGGAACGTGTGTGCAGACACCACAAATGTACACTGACATATAAAAGATGTGAATATATTCACACACAAACACATCTGTGCATCTGTAAATATTTATATGCAGGTAGATACACATGCAACACCAATATTTCATATGTATGGTCATATGAAATACTGGTGTTGCATCTCTCTCATGCAAACCTAAGGCTGTTTCAAAGGAGAGTGGAATATGACATTTTTACTTTTCTGTATTAACTTCCACATCCCAGAGAATTTGCTTTTGCCTAGTTATAGTTGCCACCAGAAATGTTGATAGGATTGCCAAAGTGCCATTTCTGTTTCTAATTAATATTCTACATGACAGGTAGAAACTGACCAAGGAACCATCATGAAGGTAAAATCAAAACCACTGGCAAATGAGGGCATCCTGCCAGATGATATGTCTCTCACACTGTTTCCTCTGATGTACAAGAAAGACATGTGAGCCACTGATGTAATAAAAATAAAAATTATTTTATGAAGAGAAGGAAAAAGTTGAAAGTAATAAATTACATATTAGATAGAGAGATGGAAAGATATAACATTGGAATTTTAAGTCTGTGAAGGAGCAAATTCTGGCCCTGTGGCAGGAAATCTAAAAAAGTTGCTGTCACTGACCCTAATGCATAGACTGAAGAAATGTGACTTGATTTCAGAGATTAATGGAAATCTCCATATTCTGTGAATGGGAGGAAATCTGAGTCAGAGAATATGAATGCAGCTGTCTGCTCTGAATATCTTTGACAGGCTGGGATAGGGAGGAGTTGTTAATTGGGAAGAACAGGAGGGAGTTGTTTGTTTTGTTGACAGAATAAACTGAAAAACCTCTGTAAGGGAATTGTTGTAGGTACTGAGTTTCTGACAAGGTTCCCATTGTAAAATGGGGTCTCAAAACACTAAGTTTAGTGAGCACAAGGCTGATGAGTAAATCGGTACCTTTAAAGTATTTGTATTAACTTTTCCCTCCTCTTCTAATTCCACTCGTAAAAGTAAACATGATCTAATCATTATCAATTATTGAGAAATATGGAAAGATCAATATATTTAAAAAATAGGATTTTTTTTTCATTTTATTGATTTGAAGTAATCAATAAATATTGCATTTAGCCTGAAAGGGGAAAGACTTCGGAGAGATTGAATCAGAGAAAGTTGCTGTGATAGAGATTTCACATCTCGTTTTCTTCCTCTCCAAGAGACCGTTCCTCTACTTTCTGTGCCCTTTCTGCTGTTATTTCCTAGCCCTGTTTCTGTGCTGTCACTACTGCTCTGAATTTCATGTTGTTTGAAAATACCTGTACTCTTCAAGTAATTTCACTTCAGTAAGAAGTTTTGTGTATTGTGTGAGTGAGTCTCTTTACAAAATTTTTCAGGGCTTGAAGGATAAAAATTCTCTTGGGGAATAGAAAAGGGAGAAGGTAAAAGGTTTAAACCTGAGAGTATAGGAACTTTATGGGTTCCATTGGGAGCATGTTAGAATTTCTTCTAAGAGTGTAAAATGCCTAAGAGAGATTTAATTAAGAAAAGAAATAGTAAAAGTAGAAAAAAGTGGTGACAAAGCTTGGCTATAAAAGCCAAAGTCCTTTCCCCAACTTATTTTAACTTATGCTTCTTGGTTTAGGAGTTGGGGGTTGTAGCAGCAGCTAGTGTTGCATGTCAGCGATTCCAGTGTAGACTGCAGAGATGGGGAAATTCTTCCCAGTCGGACCTGTTCTTTATTCCATAGAGCTACTCGTGGTAACATTACAGCCAGGGAACACAACAGAATTTTTAGTTTGTGCAGTGGGAGCAAGTAAATCTAGTATCAGTCCAGAACCCAGCAGTGAGCTTCCTAGGTAATACTGCTATAGAAACTGGGGGGAAAAGGGGGGAAAAAATCAGAGTTTCCACGGCAAACGGGTAGTCAGATGGTTGTTTGTTTAGTGAAGGGACTTAACAAAGAAGATATTAGCAGTACACAGCTATGGTGACCTTGCC